CAGTGCTGCTATATGGCGTAGAGGGCTGGACACTCAAAACGAGGGATATAAACAGATTAGAAGCTTTCGAAATGTGGCTTTATCGCCGTATCCTAAAAATACCATGGACAGCGAAAATCACAAATATAGATGTCCTTAAAAGAATAAACCAAGAACGCCAACTTTTCGAAACCATCAAGAAAAGGCGTATCTAGGTCGCATCATGCGAAATGAAAAATACCAGTTCCTCCAACTTATAATCGAGGGTAAAATTGAAGGCAAGAGAGGAATGGGACGCAAGAAAATGTCCTGGCTCCGAAACATAAGGCAATGGACAGGGATTAACGACATACAATCTCTGATACATATTGCAAGAAATAGAGAATTAATGGAAAATGTGATCGTTAACATCCATTAGTGGATTTGCATCTGAAGAAGAAGAAGAAACTTTGCTTGCTTTTCAGTATGTTTTCCCATTTTTTGCATATTTTTTTTGTCTTATCCAAAGGTGTCTTGCTCAAGCGTCTCTAATCAGGTTTCTTTTGTTATTATATACTACTACCATTAGCAGTAATAGTAGTAGTTATATAACAGTAATAATAGGTATAATAATAGGTAATAGCTAATAATAGGAGCAGTAAAAAGAATAGTGCACACTATGTTGCCAAGGTAGTTGAGGTTTTATATGGCGAATACATGGTAAAATATTTAAAAACAGTTATTGGAAACAATAAATTTGTCACTTGTGTCTCCGAAGGCGACATAATAAAAAAACTGCCTTCACCAGATTTGGTTGGAACATCACAACGCCAACAAAATATGATGTCTTTTAATGTTAAATTTGATACATACAGTGCAATCATGTTTGTCATCTTATAATTCATGTAATAAATAAGATTCCGTTCGTTTGTGTTGTTTCTTCTTAATCGAAGGTAATTTGTTCTCTGACCACAGGTAGAACATAATGTGGACAAAAGTACAACACAGTGTCGTACCTTTGGACGACCTGTCAAATAAAAGGTAACAAACGAATCCATAGAATTGAATCCACAGAATTCATAGAATGACACTTTGTCATTTATAGATAAAGGTTGTATCTACCTACTTCTGTATGCTTCAATGGTTGCTATAAAGCAATTTTGAGCCAAACGACATGAAATTTGTTCAAAGGTACAACACTCTCTCTTAGGTAAAAGACACTATATGTAAAGGTATATGAAAAACAATATTATAACCAGTGCCGGATTAAGGGGGGGGGGCTATGGGACTCTTAGCCCCCGGCGGTAAATTTTGAGAGGCGGTACGTCGCTCCCATCACGTTTTAATTCTGTATGTGGATATTTCAAATTTATGGGGTTGACAAATAAATAGCTTCAGAACAATAATAAAAACGGGAAATCCACTGCGCCTGGCGACAGCGTGTCCGGCTCCAATACGGTATGTCGTCAATCGTTAGTCGTGTTAGCGCAGTTTTCGAGACTAGTCTCAAATTTTACTAATTTTTATTAGTGAAGTGTTTTCGTGACGTTTCTAAAAAATGAGCGGAAAAGAAGGAGGTTCATTTTGGAAGCGACAAAAGTTAGAAAAGCAACAAAAATTAAATGCAGTATTAAAAAAAACCCCAAGATTCAGCTTTTTTTTTACCAAATCCGGGCAAGTTAGTATACCAACGAGCACTTCTTTTCAAGACGATCCAATTGCAACAGTTTCAGATGTTTTAGAAGGTAGGTATATTTGACTGTTTTAGTTACTTTTTAAATAAAATAAAATTTGCAGCAGGATCTTCATCACGTCGAGATGATTCATCCACAGCAAATTCAGACCCACTTTGTGATATCGAGTTACATCCTGAAAAGAGTTCTCCTGGACTTCAAATTCTAGTCGAAAGTGGTGTTAATCGAGTTGATTTACAACATCCAAAATTCTAGCCAAGAAATTGTGTAGATGAAGTGCTGAAAGAATTCAAAACACAGGATCTTAATTCTTTAGACTTTGAATATTCAAAAAGATAAATAGGGAAACAAAACAGGTACTGCACTAAATCACTATTTTATAAGGTTTTAAAGAATGGTGAAAAAATTCGGCGTGATTGGTTAGTTTATTCCAAAAGCACAGGCTCTTTATTTTGCTTATATTGTCGACTCTTTTCAAGCGAAAATTGCACTTTTTCCGTTTTTTACTGGATTTGACGACTGGAAAAAGGCTAAGGAAAAATGTCACAGTTATGAAAGATCAGTCGTTCATTTAGAACATTTTAAAAATTTTATTTCAAAAAATTCATTGAGTATGAGAAAGATCGATGATTCTCTGCGGCAACAGATTGAACATGAGATCACATATTGGCGAAACATATTACAAAGGGTCGTTTGTGTCAAATTCTTAGCTATTAGGAGGCTACCTTTTAGAGGAACCGGCGAAAAATTTGGTTCGACTAGCAATGGCAATTACCTTAGATTACTAGAGTTGTTGGCGGAATATGATCCTCTTTTAAAAGAAGATATTGAAAAATATGCTTCAAAAGGCTGTGGTTCAGTATCTTATTTATCAAAAACAATTTGTTTTGAATTTTTGCAATTGCTTTCGGACCACATATTAGAAGAAATTGTAAAACAAATTCATTGTGGAAAATATTATTCAATCAGTGTTGACTCTACGTCTGATATAACACGTACAGATAAATTGACATTCATTATTAGGTATTGTTCGGACACCGGAACACCTCTCAAGAGGTTCATACAGTTTTTAGACAACACTGGCCACAAAGCCGAAGATATGGAAGCTAGCATTGTAAAAATTTTGTCCAACCTTAATATAAATATCGATGACTGCAGGGGACAATCGCATGACAATGCGAATAACATATCTGGCGTTTATAGCGGTCTCCAAGCCCGAATAAAATCTAGGAATAGTTTGGCAAAATAGGTACCATGTGCAGCCCATTCCCTAAATTTGATTGTGCAGCATGCAGCAGAATGCACTATGGAAAGTACTTCTTTTTTTTTAGTTGCTGAAGAAATTTATGTTTTTTTCTCAGCTTCAACTTACAGATGGAAACGACTCACTGATCTATTGAAAAATGGTGGCCATACAACATTTGTTCCAAAAAGAGTTAATGTGACTCGATGGTCAGGACGATTTAATGCATTAAAAGCTCTTAATTTATGCTATCAAGATATAAAGCAAGCACTTTTAGAGTTATCCGCTAACGATGACGAGAAGATGCCAGTACGCTGTCAAGCAAACAATTTACACGAAAAAATGGCTACGTAAGAATTTGGTATTTATGTTGCCTCTTGGTTCGAAGTACTGGAAAGAACTGACCTAGCAAGTAAATCTTTACAAAGCGCAAATATGGACTTACATACATGTTCGTCTTTGTATAGCTCATTACAACATTTTTACGAGTCTCTTCATGATAAATGTAATTTATTTGAACAAAAGGGGCAGCTTTTATCACAACAAACGGAATACAGCAAAGAAATTAGAAGTCGCAAAATAAAATTACAGTTTGACGAAGCAGATACAGAAGAGAACCTTACACCGCAAAATAAGATTAGAACCTAGGTGCTGTATAAAACAATTGATTATTTGGCAAATAATCTGAAATCTAGAGGAAAAGCTTATGAAGATCTTGCCATCACTTTCTCATTTTTATTTTCTCTACCTCTTTCAGAGGATAACGTGATTTCAGACAAAGCGTCGGTATTAGTGAATATTTATTCGAATGGCTTGGATACATCTCTACCAAGTGAGTGTATTCAATTAAAACATTTTATAATGTCACTACTAGGCCAAGTTGAGTATAAAAATCCAAAAAATCACAGGGCTACTTTTGTGATGGAGCTTTTGCATAAAAATAATATAATTGCAACCTTCCCAAACGTAGAAATAGCACTAAGAATCTTCTTATCGTTGATGGTTACTAACGCAACTGGTGAAAGATCATTTTCCACTTTAAAACAGGTCAAAAAGTATTTGAGAAATTCGATGACGGAAGAAACATTAAATTCGTTCGCTGTTTTAAATATTAATAATGATCTGCTTACAAAATTAGATTTTAATAAAATCATTGACCTGTTTGCAAGTAGGAAGTCCAGGAAAATTTGTTTTGTAGATAAATATGTTAATTTACTTTATAAGTTGTGAGTTTGTGTCTTTGTGGCTTTTTTGTATATTTGTAATAAATTACGTAATAATATTTAAATAGTTTTAATGAATTGTTAACCTAAGGCAAGGCGCTCACCAACGTGGCAACCAAATGGCGTGGCAATGGCGAGCGAGTGCTGTGGTGTCCCAGTGGCAGATAGAATTGTTAAACCTTTATAAACATAATGTAGTCACACGTATCGAAAGGTCGCACGTGCGACTACATGTTTATACATTTTACCTGCCACTGGGACATCACAACATTTGTTCGCCACTGCCACGCCATTTGGTTGCCATGTTGGTGAGCGCCTTGCCTAAGACGCATCTATACCTACTGGAGAGTGGCGGTATAGTATGACTTAGCCCCCGGCGGTCCATGAACTGATTTATAAATCCGGCACTGATTATAACCTTAACCACAATAAGTGTACACAACAAACAGTGGGAATAAACCATGATTAACAATATTTTCAAAATAATGAAAGACATATGGATGATGAAATCCTTAATATGATATTTATGATATTTTTAAATGCAAGTTACCGACGCAAAAATCTTACAAAAAAATAGATCAAAATCTTTTCTTTTTCCGTTTTTTTTTCACTTTCATATAACCTATTCTGTAAATCGCCTTTCTTTATTTAACATATCTTCGCAAAGGACAGTTTTTTTTTATGATATTGACTAATTAATCTCAGAATATTTGATAAAAAAAATCTCCACAAATTATAATATGTCAGAAAATTACTGCTAAACATCTTGCACTCTTTTACATATAAAATGTACTGGACGACTATCTAATACTGGCAGATTACTTTAGATCAATAGGTAAGTCATAGTTTGAGTACGTGATGCTCAGTCGGGTTTGGCCACTCGCCAATATTTCAGCTGTAGATTCGCACACTCAAAATTCCAGAGAATGGAAGCTGGAGATTATTTTCTTCTGCTGACTAATTCTTTTATGTATTTTGGAGAAGCGTTCTTGTTGTTGGGTATCAACTTTCGAAAATCATATGCTGGTAAGTAGGAAATTGTTATTCGGATGATTATCTTGTGACTCAGAGAAATCATTGGGCGTTTACTTATCATAAGAGATTATTTGTTTATGTTATATATATTTATACGTTTGATTTGGCACGTAGTTGTACTGTTAAACTAAAAAGTTATAAATGAAATGGATGGTCTCATGCTAGAGTGAACCAAAAGCCGAAATTGAAAGTTTTCAGTACGACATCGACAGTTAAAAGTTATACAGATGTTATAAAATATACACAATATATTAGAATTTTGTTTGAAGTATAAAAGATTTTAAGACCTATTCAAAAGAACATTTCTTTAAATTTTTTAGTGACAGCACATGTTTTTGTCTACTTTTAAGGCTCTTTTATCAGTGTTTGCAGCACATGGTTCACTTTAGCAAACTTTTTAGCATGAGAAGTATAAATAAATCGATATTTTTGTTTGTATCAGGTTTATTAACACATCATTAAAATTGAATTAACAATATATGAGAATAAAATAAAAAAATAATAGTAACAATATTAAGATCGCATTGTTCATCTCATTTTCCTCTTCATTGTTATTGTCGTTCTCTTCTTCCATGTCATCTTCCAATACTTCACTTGGTTGAAGTTTATTGTAAAATTGATGATTGGTTGGCATGGTGTTACGAATTGCAAAAGTGATCTGATAACATTAAGCTTTGCTTGACTTAATTTTTGTCCTTCAGGGTAAAGAATGCGTAAGTTTAAAGAAGCTAGGTTTACAGGTCGGCCTTACAATCTCGTATTTAGATTTACTGAATAAAATTGTGTTTGGACTCCTGGATGGTCTTGAATAAATTTTATTTTGAGCATTCTACTTTTTGTTCATCTTTTTGCGTCTTTGAGTGTTTTTTGCGGTTAACCATATTTTGTTTTAATGCATCTATACTCTTGAAATTCTCTTTGTCCATGAATTATATTTTAAATTTGTTCTTTTTAACTATCTAACTATCTAATTAGCCTTTCTCGGTCCATCTTTGGACATAGGTCTCCCCAATTTTTTTTATTCTTTTCTGTCTGTGCTCACGTGCTTCTAGATATCATCTGTCTATCTTATTTGGGGCCTTCCTCTGCTTCGTTTATATTCCCACGGTCTCCAACTTATAAGAATTTTGTTCTCTACGGTCTCCTTTTTGTTTTGTATTGTGTCCGGAAAATCTTTTGAGTTGCAAATTTGAATTTTGCAACTTCTAGTCTAACATCCCTCACTTTTGTTTTGTCTCTTATCCACTCGTTTCTCTTTTTATCCATTAGTATTATCTGCAACATTTGTCTTTCCATTGCTCTTCGGGTTTTTATGATTTTGTCCATGTTTGCTTTTGTAAATGTCCACGTTTGGGAACCATAAGTGAGAACATGGAGTACGCATTGATTGTATACTTCGGTCTTATGATGCTGTGAATATCTTTGGTTTTTAAGAATGTAGCTTAGGTTGCAAAATGCCGCCCATGCCAGTCTAACTCGTCTTTTTATCTCTGCTGTTTGGTTTTCTTTGTTAAGTTTTATAGTTTTACCCAGATGTATGTAATCCTGAACTTGTTCTATTTCATCTTGTCCGATTCTCATTGTGATGTCTTCATCTGTATTAGTTACGATTTTGGTCTTGTTGTAATTTATATTAATGCTTATCTTTCCAGCTTCTACGCCCAGTTCTTTCATCCTTTTAAACAATTATTGTTTTTTATCGGTTATTAATACTATGTCATCAGCGTACCTTAGAAGGTTCAAGCATTGTACACAAATTTTCATACCTTTTTCTTCCCATTCTATTCTTCTAAAAATATTTTTTAGAGCCTGATTAAAAAGTTTCGGTGATATTGTGTCACTCTGTCTCACGCCTCCATTTATTTGTATTGACTTTGTTTGTTCCTTCATATACTTTAATTGTTGTTTTGGCTTCCTTAGATATTGGCTATTAGTTCCGTATATCTGCGATCAATTCTGCTGTTAATCAAAGAACTTTTCACTGCCAATATTCGACACTGTCGAAGGCCTTTTCGAAATCTATGAACGCTATATATAGAGAAATGTGGTATTCATTTGCTCGTTCTATAAGTATTTTCATACTTAGTAAATGGTCACTTGTGCTGAATCCCTTTTTAAAACCAGCTTGTTCTTTCAACTAGTATCCGTCGAATTTTGTCATCAACCTTTTGGCTCTGTCGTCAATATTTTTAACTATTGAGTTTAAAATTATGTTATGCCATTGTGTAGGCACATAAATTTTGGGATGATATTTTAACTTTTTTTCTATGTCACCAAAATCGCTATCATTTTGTAGATATCAATGTCCTGGCTTAGCAAACTTATGAACTACTTCCATTAGGTTTAAATTAGGGGACTGCATTATGTACATTCGTAACGCGGCAATATTAATGTTGCGATTTTGGCCGTCACATGAGTCTGATCAAGCAGTCAATATGTCCTTATGATCATGGGTATTTATGAATTTTAAAATACATGATCCTATTTCCTGGGAACCTCGTAAGGCAGTGCTCTCATCCCAAATATGCATTTTCCGATATCATTTACCAAATTATGTATCCCAAGATTGTAGCAAGAAAGCTACCTCTTTTAATATACATTTTAGAAACAATCATTACTTTCTGAAGATCATAACTAATTACTGAAGCTTTCCACTGTATACTAATCTTTACGTCTTCATTTATTAGTTCTGAGCGAGGTAACTTTACTTTTTTGTGGTTTAGTTTCTTAGCCTTTACCATTGATTCATCTTTCCTCAGCATCCTTTATTTCAATGTTCAACCTGTCACATGTTTGACAGGTATCTTTTCGTGGAGGTCTAAAGAATAAAATCATGTCTTAACACTTTTTCATAAAGTGATTGGCTTGGAATTTTGTAGACATTTTTCTTTCTTAAACTATCAACATAGAGTCTGTACATTAGTGACAAATTTAAATTACAATCCAAAAAAAAAAGTATTTTTTTGTGATTGAGTTCTACAGTAAACCCTTATGATAACGAATCTGTGAAAATGACTGCTTCCAATTTGGGCTGGTTTGATATATATTGTAGGGCTTTAAATATGGCATACAATTCGGCGGAATATATGGAATAGTCATTAGATAACTGGAATCGATGTTTAATTGTTTCGTCAACGAAAGCTGCGCATATCGTTTCCATTTCTAAAGTTTTTGACGTATCTGCATATATTTGGTAATATCTTTTGTACTTGTCTGTAACCGCTTGAAACAGTTGTAGAATTATATGTAATGAAGTATCAGATTTAGGATACAGTAGAAGATTTGTATTACATTTGGGGAGTTTTATGTTCCAAGGAGGAGGGTAGTTTATTTCATTAGAAATAACTTTCGAAACCTGTGATTATTTTACTAAATGATGCAGAAAGAAATAATTTTTGTTCAAAAGTTAAATGAAAATTGTCAGAAAATGTGTAAAAGTAAGAGGGGTTATTAGAGTTTGCTCCAATTTTAGCTGCATATTGTAAGCTTAGTATGTATCTTCTAATTGAAAGAGGTGGTTCATCACCTTGTACATACAGACTTTCTACTGGACTGGTCATGAAGGTTCCAAAAGCAAGCCTTTATGCGGTATTTTTTATGATGTCCAATTGCTTTAATAAACTATCTTTAGTTGAACTGTAGACTATTGATCCATAATTTAGCTTGCTATGAATCTGTGTTTTATATATATTTAGTATTTGTGTGGTATCAGCTCCCCAATTATGATTGGCTAATACTTTGAGAATGTTCACATTTTGCATGCAAACTTTTTTAAGTTGTTTTCCAAGTGAGTTTTGCATACTGCAAATTTTGATTTTGTTCATAAATTATTTTAAACTGATTTTACTTTATTTTCAGGTGTCTCCTTTCAAACGCAAGTCCTCCACTTGATAGCGGCTTTGTCAAATATTTTGAGTCTATTTGAAGCTCCCATTAAACTGGAATTAGTAGTTTTCATCGCATTATGTCATTCGTTGATATCGGTATTTCCAATTTTCATATTTTATCGGTACTACAGTACATACCAGAACCAGCATGACACGATAATTCCTTATGTACTATTTCCATCAACTTACATTCTTGCTGGCTTCACTTCAGAGGATGACTATTTTAAGGAGGTAATGCATTTTTGTTTTATTTTTATTTCATAGATTGCACAATTATATTGAATAATTTATTTTACTAGAATTTTTAACAAATGATAATTGGGTTAGGTTGTAAAATTAGTCAAAAATATTGATAGATTTGTCTAGTCTATCAATGATATGACATTTATAAATTGGCATTTACAATATTAATTTTGGTTAATGAAGAAAATTTTTAAAATTTTTATTTAGAAAATTATGTAAAAATATTATTTACTACAAAAAAAATTATGACATTTCCATACTATTTTTGTTGGGAATAAGTCGCAATTTTACTTTAGAATTTAGTTTATTTGGCATTTCGATTTCCAATGTAAAAATCGTTTTCAAAATACAAAACATTGATAAATTAAATAAATTTTGTTTTTATATGTTTTGCAAAAAATTCTTCTAATAATTTAATTTTATCTGACTCATTCATATTGACAATTCAGAGATATATTATACATTTTAAAGTAGATGACGTTGTATTCTAGTGTCACCCCTAACACAAATCGACTACTGTTAACATCAAATACTACATGTTTATGTCGAAAAACTACTGTCTGACCTTCTGTGTCAACCCATCAAAATTTGAGAAAATCACAGTCCGTTCTATGCACGCCTATCTGTTGAAATACTATTTTAACATTGATTTGTTTTTATCTAAACAGTGGTTAAGTGAAGATTTATTCTTTGAATGTGCAGATGCATCAAACACTGGACGTACAAGTACTTTCTTTCTTTACCACTAGGCGGTAAGGTAAAAACTGTCCTAGATTGTAATCAACATCATTTAACTTTTTATCTCGCTCAATTATACCCTCAGCTTACCAGTCAACAAAAACCTCACCATAGCTCTCCAAAAGACACAATTACTGAGGAGAGAAGAGTGACCATCTAACCAAGGAAGACGAATCTCATAGCGGCCCATCTGATCTACACTTACAGTCTGCATAAAAAATTCCCTAGCAGTTAAAGCAGCCTCCTCTTTGGTATGTCTATCTGTAGGCTCTTTAATACCAATTGCTTCCAACTCCCAAAGCTTACTTAAGCCATCCTTTATGAGAAGATTTAATGTGGACATGACATTAGAATGTTTAGTACTTGTAGGTTTTTTTCCGCTAAGTGTCCATTCAATGAAAGTTGTTATAGCTACTGACCCACAATCTAGTTTGTGACGACCCCCTCTATGCAAATAACTAGCAACATCTGCTCCCAGCAACAGTTCAATTGGTCCAGGTAGACACGATTCTTGGCTTGTTCTCTTCACGGACCATGAAATACTGGAGCTACATCATTACAAATTGTTAGTTGATCTAAGACCTTAAAACAATATGTAAAGTTCTTACCCTGTATTGTGACTTTATAACAGTTACGAGAGTTTGCAACTTCTAACCCTCCAAACAGACAATGAACAATTTTTCATGTCGTTTAACTGGATATTCTAATATTAAAGCTGTGTCCTTTAATATATATGATCTTTCTGACACGCTATCAATTAAGACATGAACAAATCTACTATTACCAAAGATACTAATTAAAGTGACTCACACAAATTTGCAAAAATACATGACCTTTATTTTGGTTAGTCAAAGCGTAGTCGTCCGTGACATCATTAGAAGACATGTTCTCATTTTGATTATCCATCATCCTAAGCTTACCTTCACTTACTATTAACCTGAGACACATCAAGACTACATAAGCTTGGCTACAGATAACACATCTTAGCCTTGTTATACATCTTTTTGTATGATGTCCCACTTTTAAAAATCTAAAACAAGCCTTCTTCCCAATGAGAACATCCCTTTTTTGGACAAATGTAATTTTTTGTGCCTTAAAGCAATTTTCAATATCATGTGTACCTGAATAAAAGACACAACCAGAAATTTCACAATTAATTAAATTAGCAGCAGTTGGACAACCTGATGACATCTTGACACTATCTTTAGAGGATAAAGCCACTTCTTCAGATAGTCCAAAATCTTCAGCAGCTAAAGAAATCCTTTGTTCATTCTCTACTTCATTTCTGAGAAAAGTTATCAACAGTTTCAACCTGTTTTCCAATGTACATCTCTATAATTATAATTTATTCGTCTTCCGGTTTGGACCGTGTCATTTGTGAGTGACCCAAAAGTGGGTTCATCTCGACGTTTCGCTACAATTGTATGTAGCTTCTTCAGGAGAACAAAGAAAAAGAAAAAGAAAGAAAACAAAAGACAGGAAGATGGGTAGTTAGCAACGGTAACTCAGTTACTCAACGCAACCAGAGGCGAATACTAACTACCAAGATGGGCATTTGGTCACAGTAACTCAACTACTCAACGCAGCCAGAGGTGAAAACCAAATGCCAGGACAGGGATTCACGTCCAACAGCTCAGAATACTAACGCGTCGAGAGAGTGGATTCACTCCCCGCCTCGAACGCCCCGACGCGTTAGTGTTCTGAGCTATTGGACGTGAATCCCTATCCTGGCATTTGGTTTTCACCTCTGGCTGCGTTGAGTAGTTGAGTTACTGTGACCAAATGCCCATCTTGGTAGTTAGTATTCGCCTCTGGTTGCGTTGAGTAACTGAGTTACCGTTGCTAACTACCCATCTTCCTGTCTTTTGTTTTCTTTCTTTTTCTTTTTCTTTGTTCTCCTGAAGAAGCTACATACAATTGTAGCGAAACGTCGAGATGAACCCACTTTTGGGTCACTCACAAATGACACGGTCCAAACCCGGAAGACGAATAAATTATAATTCTGACTCTGGCCGTGGAAGCCTACGATCTCATTTTACATCTCTATAGTTAATATTTGTGGAGCGTAGCCATATCGTAAGCAATTGATGAGGTAAACAAGATTTGATTAATGGATACAGCATTACTAAATACTTGTCAGATGTGATACCTAATGTCTCCAGTGCGCGCAGTTGAGTTTTAATTCTGTCATATAGTTTGGATATATCAATCTTTTGTCTAGATACAGACTTACTTAAAATAAGTTTAAGTAACTTTATACTTCTATCTGTAAGTCTTCTCTGCCAAATCTGCTTTGCATATTTTCCATCATTTTTCTATAATTCTTAGCCATAGCTGGATAGCTCTCTATTAGTTGACGTGCTCTACTACCTGGTTCTGTGACTTAAATTTAATATTCTTATCATGGCAATCAATAGAATCATCTTCGTGTTTTTTTTGAAGTGTGCCCAGAATGCCAACTAACTTTTGATACTGCCATCATAGTTTTTATATTCAATGGTAGGTAATATTTTTTTTTTTTTCGTCTTTATAGAGGGGGGGTCTGGAATCTTCAAAAGACATCTCAGTCCAGAACGCCGCCTGACTGACCTTAGTGCAGGATTCGTTCTTCGTACTCCCGGCGATAGTTCCAGAGATACTTTAAAATGCCCTCTCGTCGCCGAGTCTACGCCGAATGCCTACCTGCTAAACCAGACCCTCCTCTGTCATCCAGCGATCCGGAAGCGGAATGGCCGCTGTAAGGCCGGCATCACTTCCGAAGCACTACCTTTATTCATTCATTCTCCATTCATACACATCCACACTCCTATTTCGGCATCATTCCCAGAAGGGCATTTTCTCCTTCCCCACAGTCAAACTCACGCATTCTAACTCAAAAAGTGTGACCCACTGTTCTAACTTCACCTTTCAGCATCATTCACTCTACCTTTGCCGTTGGTCCAGCTGTCTTTCTTCCTCTTCCTTTTTTTTATCACTGCACGGATATAACTGTGTATGTTAATCCAACCTAATTTATTTTCAATCATTCTCTCAATCATTTCTCTCACTGTAACAAAATTCACACCTGTCTCTCTCTCCATTCTATTCCTTTCCACTATCCATCTGCTGCAATCTAACATCGTATGTGTCACAGTGTCCGAGTATCCACAATATAGGCATTCATCTGTATCATCCTTACCGATCCTATAAAGGTAGGCCCTAAAACACCCGTGTCCTGTGAGCACCTGCGTCAGGAAATAATCCAATCGCCTGTGGTCACAGTCCATCCAATGGTAGGTAATATGAATGTTCTTATACCTGTTAACTCTGGCTCATCTGTATTCTGGGACACTGCACTATGCCTGCTGGACGCTACAGTCTTTGCTTGTTGCATCAGCTTGTTATATCTGGTTCTACACTTGGAAAACTTTCTCAAATACAGATCACAATTCTCTATCTCTGCTTCTAGCACCATATTAGTAGAGCTTTCTAATAATAATTCGGTAATTTGGGAATCAACTAACTGAACCTCCTCAAATAACAGTTTTTAGGATACTTCTATTGACTTGTAGTCCAATGATTCTGCTTTCATAAGACCTTCTAACTCGTTGGACGTACGCGTACAAATAACCCTTAATATTCTTCTGGTTTTCTTCTGACTCTTCAATTCTGCTGCCATAGTGCGTTTGGTTAAAAACCACGGAAACGTTTTCAAAAGATATCACAAAACAAAGAACGCGGTAAAAACTTATTGGCCCAACGTAAGGTCCAGAAAAACAAAATTCACACCGAAATCCAACTCAAAAAGTCCTCAAAAAATCCAACCAAAAACGTTACAAGTTGATTTCATGTAATCAAATCAACTATTGATTTGATATTTTTAGAACAATTTCCGAACTGGAAATCGAAAAGTCAAAATAAACTGATTTAACAGAAAACTTGTCGCTTTAAACCAATAAATATAGTAGTGTAGGATATTACTATACTCTTTATATTGTTTCATAAAGTTTATACAAACTACACTAAACTGAAAAGCGCGTACAATTGATTTAACATATATCTTTGTCTTTTAGGTTGGCAGACTCCTCAACGTGTGTCTGCCATTAGTGGCAGATTTACCACAAATCTTTATGTCTGCACATCTTCAACAGCTCCCCACCCACGTCTTGTATTACTTCATAGGCGTGTTCCTTTCGAAAGTCAGCACTGTAATATACGCGATAAACAACCACCTACTCCAAAACGGATACTTTTTGGCTACTCTAGTTGATCTCGTATTTTTTGTAGCTGCTTTAGTTTTTCTGTCTTTGTGTGGCGTGGAGATTGTGAAGTCGGTGAAGATCCATCAAGAAGATAATGCTGAGAGGAAAGTAGTCTACGTATCGGGAAAAGGAGGAGAAGATAGCAGTTTAATGCTCGAGGAACAGGAAACTAGGGTGTAAGCCTAGTTTTTTATTGTAACAGAGATTTGTGTTATTAGATTTAAGAATTTTATTGCTAAAATAGTTAAAATAGTACAGAGCAACTAGGTTGAGGCAATAGCTTTAATGTGTACTTTGTAATATATTTTGTTGTATTGAAATAGTCAAACCTAGTTTATTTGAGTTTAAAAATATAAATAATCTGTTTTTTATTTAGAGTTTTTGGTTTTGTACACGAATAAATCATCTGGTCGGCGAAGGAGGTTGGCAATCATCTGGCTATTCTGATCTTAGATACTGCCGCTCTGAATAGTTCGATTGATGTGCATCCGTACCATTCCCCAAGTTACGCAACTATGAGATTCTTCTTCTTCCTACATGTCTCTTGCCCTGGATTTTTCCTTGTATAATTAATTGAAGTATATTGTATATTTCATGACGCCTAACATGCCCCAGGTATTGCAGCTTTCTTGTCTTGATTTTCCAACATTTCCATTCTTTTGTTGACTCTTCTCATGACTTCGTTGTTTGTTACATGTTCGGTCCATGATATCTTCAGGATTCTTCTATACACCCACAGTTCAAATACTTCCATCTTTTTAGTAGTCGATGCATTAAGAGTTTATGCTGCGATCTCGTAAAGCAGAGTCAAGAAAATATAACACCTTGCCAGCCTAACTCTCAAGTCTAATTTCAATTATCTTGCACAAAGTACCTTTTTCAGTTTATTGAACAGCTTGCCACCATTGCAAGTTTGTACTCAATGAAGTTTGTTCGTGCTTTCTCTATTTGAACTTTGATTTCTTTGGAGTAATCGTTTGTGTGATCAATTATTGTGCCAAGTCCACGTGTTGTTTTCTTTAAAGGGAAAGCTGATTGCTTTCCCATCCATTGCTTTCCCATCCAGTCAAAGACGTGGATGGATTTCCATTCCACGTCTTTGACTGGTTCAATGAAGGTTTCAGAAACATCATCAAGAAAATGTCCTACTGATAAAGCTGTTAGTAGATTTGTCTCTGAATCCTACTCACAATTGTAGTCATTAAAATACGTCTTCTTCTTCTTCTACGGCACTACAGCCCAAAATGAGCCTTGGCCTCCTTTATTTTTTCCTCCACCCTTGTCTGTCTGTGGCTGCTCTTCTCCATACACGGACTCCTAAAAGTGCTTGTGCGTCGCTGCTTACTGTGTCTTCCCAGCGCTTTCTTGGCTTTCCAACTGGTCTCTTTCCCTGCATTCTGGCGTTCAGTGCTCGTTTTGGTAGCCTATCCTCTCCCATTCGTATCACATGTCCGGCCCATTGCAATCTTTGTATTCTAATGAAGTCTGACAGGGGTGTTTCCTTATACAGTTGATAGAGCTCGTTGTTATATCGAATTCTGAAGATTCCGTTTTCCCACACAGGTCCTAGTATTCTCCTCAGTACTTTTCTTTCGAATGTGTCGAGTTTGTTTTTGGATGTTTCTTTCAGGACCCATGCTTCGCTGCCATAACATGCTATTGGCCGAATTAAAGTTTTATAGATTCTCATCTTTGTATTTCGGTGGACACTTTTAGACCGAAATATATGGGAGAGGGCAAAATAAGCTTTGTTTGCCTGCGTTATCCTTTTTCGTATTTCTCCATCCTCTGCTCCATCGGCATATATTTCTACTCCCAGGTATGTAAACTTTCCAACCGTTTCAATGTCATCTTCATGTATAATATTTTGTGGAATTATATTTCTTCTCGTCTGTACCATTATTTTTGTTTTTTTCTGTGTTAATTTCCAGACCTAGCCTTTTTGTTTGTGTTTTTAACTCTGTGTATGCTTCCTGTGCTCCTGTTGATGTTCTACTCATAATATTAATATCATCGGCGTAGGCAGCCAGTTGAACCGTTTTATTGGTCAGTAGGTTTTCTCGTCCAGTTTGCATTTGCCTAACCGCATACTCCAGTGCCAGGTTAAACAATGTTGGTGCCAGCCCATCTCCCTGCTTTAGTCCCTGCGAGATTTTGAAAAAGTCTGCCGGTTGTTTTGTATTCGTACACATGCCTGAGTTTCATCCATTGTGGCTTTAATGAGTCTAATTAGCTTATGTGGTATTGCTAATTCTGCCAATATATAGTATAGTCTGTCCGTTTTGACTGAATCGTATGCCTGTTTGAAGTCTACAAACACGTTGTGAACATCAATGTCGTGTTCCCACGATTTGCTCAAGACCTGCTTGACTGTAAATATTTGATCCATTGTCGATCTTCCCCGTCTGAAGCCCGTCTGATATTCTCCAATAATATTTTCTGCTAGTGGTTGGAGTCGCTGGTTTATAATATACGTGAGGACTTTATACGCTGTACATAGTAGAGAGATTCCACGGTAGTTTTTGCATTGGAGTTTGTCTCCTTTTTTATAGATTGGGCATACTATACTTTTCTTCCATTCGTCGGGTATTTTCTCTTCTTGCCATATTTCTTTGATAAGCGCGTGGATATGACTTGATAGGTGGTTGCCACCTACCTTATACAGTTCTGCTGGAATCTCGTCAACTCCGAGGCTTTATTGTTTTTCTGGGCCTTTTCCTCTATGGTTGGAGCTTCTACTTCAACTTCGTTCTCTTCTACATGGTTCGTACCCATTTCATCTTCCATATCTACTTGTGTTTCAAGTAGAGTCTGAAAATAATGCTTCCAGGTTTCTGTGACTTTCTGTTGGTCACTGATTATTTGCCCACTTTCATCTTTGCATAGGCTTGTTTGAGGTTTATATCCACTTTTTATCTTTTTTAGGTATTCGTTTTCCATTCGTATTCCATTTCTTCTATTTGTCCATTTTCATAAGCTCTCTTTTTGTTTCTGCATATCTTGTCTGCTTTCCGTCATGCGACTTCAAATGATGTTCGTCTTTCCCGTGTTCTTCTTGTTATGTACATTTTGTGCGCTTCGTTTCTTTCTTCTATCTTCTAAAATACGTCTGTCTCTTTCTTATTCTTCTTCTTTCTGTATAGTTTATTGTTGAGCGATTTTTTCTGGAATATTTATCATTATAATTTCAGTTAAGTTCTAAGTTTTATTTGTTTTTTCTCAATCAAGTCTAATTCTATATTTAAAAATTAACTTGAATATTCTTCTGCATTTCACAGTCTGTAATTGTTATCTGAATAAACCACCATAATTAGCTTTTTACTACAAGGATCAAGCTTAGATTTCCTCTTTAGAAATTAAATTGTAAGCATTACAACCGAACAATTTTATCTTTTTCGTATTTGGCTTTTCACCATACCACATTTCAGCGGGTGTTTTGTTATCAGATAAGTTTCAATGTAATATTTAATTAAGTATGCTGCTACTCGCACAGCTTCACCCCACATGCTTTTATCTAAATTTGAATCAAAAATTAAACATCTTTTCTTTTGCATAATGGTTCTGTTAATGAACGTTTGGATGTACACCGACTTTTGATTCCATTATTTAAACATAGCATTTTAAACGCTTTTGAGGAGTATTAATTTCCATTATTACACATTATTTGTTCAATTTTTACATTTAATTCAGTAGTGATCATATTCTCTAAATTTATCTATTACTTCAGATTTCTTTTCGGTCAAATGCCATACAAAAATGTGTGAATAATGGTCTATAAACGAAACAAAATACTTTTTATTATAATGAACTACTGGATCTATAGGACCACATACATCTGCTGACACAACTTCTAAAATTTTTTATGCTTTTTATTCATTATCAATACTGTGAACTGGTAATCGGGATTGTTCTCCTTTTAAACAGATACCAGATACGGGAAGTTTTGCAGAATTAGCCATTTACCTATGCATCTAGTAGATACTAACATCTTAATTTAACAATATATAAGATATTTCTTTACTCACTCATTATCACAACATAAATTATTTTCATTATTTTTATATATTTCTATTTAAATACAATTTTAACACGTGGTTTTACCAACAGATTGTACATACCAAATATTTTTATATGAGAAATGCCCCTCATGGTTCTAAAAACATCATGGTTTAGAGAGGAACTGAAGACAAAATGTGAAGAAATGAAGAAAGCCATTTTACAATACTTCTTCTTCTTTGGGTGCCGTGTCCGTATTCAGACGTTGGCCGTCATCATGTTTACAATTTCCTGAAACCCTTCTCTGTTGGCTGCTGCGCGATTTTACAATACAGAACACAACAAACACAACAGGCATACAGCCACTATAAACGAATGAGAAATGAAACGAATACTTTAGTTAGACAAATAAAAAAGCAACACTGACAGAGTTTCTTAAAACAGATGGAACACGACTTATACGGAACACAAAAAGAAATGTGAAGAATGATCAGAGGACAAAGAAAAGAGATAAACGAACTATTAAAAACAAAACACATTTTTAAATGAGGTTAAGGAAACATTAAGGAAATTAAAAAATAGAAAATCGCCAGGAAAGAACGGAATACCGAACAAACTCCCAAAGTACAGATATCCAGATCTGACTAAACAACTATTAAAACTAATCCATAAAATAATAGATCAAAACAGAATTTCTCAAGAAGAGAGATCAAGCATCCTAATACCTCTCTTTAAAAAGGGAGATGAATCGGATCAGGAAAATAACAGAAGAATTAATTTATTTCACACAACACTAAAATTAACAACCAAAATGATAACAAATATTCAGAATGGAATTATAATACTAGCAAAAGAATAACAAGGTTTTAGGTCGGGAAGATGATGCGCCGACGCTATATTTATAATAAGGTAAGTGCAAGAAAAATCATTAGAATACAACAAACCGGCATATCTATGGGTCAAATTTAAGACGTTATCCACTTACTGTACGCAAGAGAGATATTTCTAGGAATAATCAAAACGGTCAAAAATATCTACCAAAACAACACAATAAATGTAAAAGTAGACTAGTCCCGTGGTTAAATGAGAAATCCACTGATGGTTAGCAATTATTTTCCACGTGTGTTCGGATATATCTTGGTCAAACTGCTCTGTCTCAAGTACAATATTTGGCAACTCATCTC